TTATCGTCCCCCTTTCTCACCGAACCCCGTAAATTCCATTTCCGCAGACCTGAAGAAGCAGTTCGAGTCGCCGCCGTATTCGGTGTCGGTGGAGGCGGGCCAGAGCACCGAACTCAGGTGCCTGCCGCCGGTGGGAATACCCTCGCCGAGGGTCTACTGGCTGAGGAACAACGTGCCCGTCGACACGGAGTCCGACACGCTTTTAGTGTCGAGCGAGGGACATCTCCTCGTCGGCCAGGCGAAGCTCAGCCATCAGGCGAATTACACTTGCGTGGCGGAGAACATCGCCGCGAAAAGACTCAGCGAGCCTGTCAGCCTCACGGTTTACGGTAAGAACTTAAGACGCTTTGCGTTGCCCGCGAGCCAACCTCACTCCCGCTACACCGTGAACTTTGTTTCACCTTTTATAACTACGCCGGAATATTGAAAGCGCCGGCTCAGACGAGGGTCTCGCGGAATAATGGAATTGATCGGTTAGATGGAATTTTCGAGTGTCAGTGTCGTGGAAGATTTTCGAGTTTTAACCCTTTGAACTCGAGAGGCGACTCTGTCATCACTTGATTTGATATAGCGATATTATGAAATTGAATGTTTAGTGTTTTGAATGGAACTTTGTATTGCTGTGTAAGATATTTGAATAGAATAGCTTTGTCGCTTAATTTATCTGTGAAATGTCGTTAAATTAGTTTCGATGTTGTCTATATCTAGGGAAATTTTGAATATTTCCAGTGGAAAACTTTCGAGTGCAAAGGGTTAACCCTTGAACTCTTTAGGCTCCAATATTGCTGTTGTAATGTTAAAGATTTTAATGAATCTTAAAGAAACTAACCTAAGATTATTAGATTTTCCGCACATCCAAATTTTGTGCTAAGGAAAATAAAAGAAGAAATGTTATAGCATTTCTCATTTTCGCTAGGAATACTATAAAAATTAGTTGCTAGATTACAAGACAATCTGGGGTGATAAGGGATAACCTTTTGTACTTGAAAGATTTCACTGGAGATATTCAATGTTTTCTAATTAGATGCAATCTTTCCAAATTACTTTATTAAGAAGTCATAAATTAAGGGACAAATCTATGTTCTTTCAATGTTTCATGTATTGATGGATATATTCCAAAGTTTATAATGCTCTATCAAATCATGCGACTGAGAGTCATCTGTCGAGTACAAAGGGTTGACCCTTTGCGATCGGTACCGCTGTGGCGATATTTAACATTTGTTTTATCTTGGAATATTTCAATTTTCTTATTTTAATATTTAGTTTTATCTTAAACATTTTAATTTGTAATATCGGTAGATGTATTATAAACCATCTGTAGAAAAATAACTTCGAGAATATATTTTCGAGAATATATCGCAAAGGGTCAATGATTCCTCAGTACTTCAATCGCTATATTTCATTCCTCTAACAGAATAAAACACCGTTTCAGTGAAGCTTAACTCAGAAATAACTAATCCATAAAGTACTTAATTTCTCAAAGTTCCAAAAGCAGCAGTAATATCTAAAAATCTCCTATCCGAAGAACTCAGAACAAAAATAAACGAATCTCACCCTGCTGGAGCCTCTAAAAGGCCAATAAAGCCTCCTATTAAAGATCCCATCAACCAAAGGAAAATATAAAACAGATAACTGAATACACATCGGCCGAACTCGCTCGGAAATTAATCAGAAGATAACAGACAGCCCGGAGATCCCCGCTAATGCATCAATTACCTCCAGACTGCGATCCACTTCGGCCGGTGCGGCTCAGACGCGCCCGGTATTCTCCTCGCATTAGATTAGAGGAAAAGAATCTCCAGGGTGAGATAGCTCAATTGATTACGTCCCGCCCGATCCCAGTCGCCAAGGAAACGAAACCAGCCCGAATCCCAAGTGTCCACGGTCCGATAGATTCCTGGGCACAGCCCCTCGCCCCGTTGCGAAAGTGGCTGCCGATTGAAATCAAAGGATCCCGATCGATTCGCGTTGCAGTGAACGGCGGCTGGTCCTCCTGGTCAGCTTGGTCGGAGTGTCACTCGAGATGCGCGAAGGGGGGTCAGAAGAGGACGAGGACCTGCACGAACCCGTCGCCGATGAACGGCGGACAGTCCTGCCTCGGCCCGTCGCAGCAGAAGATGGACTGCAACACGAACTGTCCTGGTAAGAGAGAACCCTCTGGTCCCGTTGTGTTCGTTAGTCGCCGGGGAAATCAGACTCGCGAGGAAGCATCGCGATTCGTTGGCACTAAAATTACCTGACCCGCCAAAATGACCCATTCCTGATTTCTTCATTTTGTGGTTATTGAAAAGATAACAGATGGTTCTCTGGAGATTGGATAATTAATGTAGGAAGCAGAGCGATTCGTTGGCACTAAAAGTACCAGATTTGTCAAAATGGCCTATTCCTGATTTTTTCATTTTGTAGTTATTAAAAAGATAACAGATGGTTCTCTAGAGATTGAATAATTAGAGATGTAGGAAGCAGCGCGATTCGTTAACACTAAAAGTACCAGGTTTGTCAAAATGAACCATTCCTGATTTCTTCATTTTGTGGTTATTGAAAAGATAATAGATGGTTCTCTAGAGAAATGTAGGAATCTAGAGATTGAATAATTAGAGATGTAGAAATCTAGAAATTGAGTAATTAAAAATCTGGAAATTTGGAAGTTTGAAAATTAGAAGATCTAGAAACTTAACAACTGAAAAATCTAGGAATCTAAAAATTGAAAATGCAGAAATATAATAATTAGGAAATCTGGAGATCCTGAAATATAATAATAAAAAAATCTAGAGATCCAGAAATATAGTAATTAAAAAATCTAGAGATTTAGAAATATAATAATTAAAAAATCTAGAGATCCAGAAATATAATAATTAAAGCATCTAGAGATTCAGAAATATAATAATTAAAAAATCTAGACATCCCAAATACAACAATTAAAAAATCTAGAGATCCAAAAATATAATAATTAAAAACTCCAGGGATCCAGAAATACAACAATTAAAAAATCTAGAGATCCAGAAATGAAAAAATTGCAAAATTAAAAAATCCAGAGATCCTGAAATCAAAAAATTGCAAAATTAAAAAATCCACAAACCTTCAAACCTTCAAGCCATAAGTCCTGTCATCAAACGGCAAGGGGTTAACCATACTGCCTTCGATTTCACGGACAAGAGACTTCCTCCCTCCCAGCACACTGTCCCCGGTAGCTTCCTCTTCTGTCCCGCTAGAGGTGGATGTTCTTTACCGTTTCGCTTCGAGAGGGAAAGGGAGAGAGACGGGTGGGTCGTGGTTCGTTGCGCCCAGAAGAGAAGAGGACAAGACAACCGAGCAGGTTCTGTTCGCGACGACAAACCAATATTACCGATGCCGAGGAGAGGAGAGGCCACTCGTTTGATTTACGAGCTTCCCTCTTTTCCCTCTCACGGTCGACTATCTGTTGCGTACCCGTCCCCCCTCCCCTCTCCTCCTCCTCCTCCTCCTATCGCAGCCGTATATATGGATGTTTGCCTCCGTCGACTCACTCTTAAATTGTATTCACCTTTCGAAAACGTTTGCGACATACCGAAGACACCTGCGGCACATCCCCGTCAGGAGTCGTGCGGAGTGTATTGAAACGATCGCGTCTCGGGGCCAACGGCCAACGGGGAACCGAGACGACGCGGCGGAGGCGGGAGCGACACTTGAAATATTAACCCCCCGTCTCTGGACGATGGCACGACGGGTCGCACTCGCGGAATTCTGATGTATGCCGGTAGACCGCACTTGGGTGTTTTAGAATTCGATTTAGAAAAGAAATGATTCGAGTCGTGAAGATTTTGAATATTTTACTCTTATGAATTGTCGGCAGAAGGACTTTGGTTTTTTGGAATTTGATTTGGAAAAGAAATCATTCGAGTGAAGGTTTTGAATATTGTACTCTTATACTTCTGAATTGTTAGCAGTATATTAATAGTTTCTTAATGAGTTTTATGAGGCTAAAGGATTTGAGTCTTTTGGAATTCGATTTGGAAAAGAAATGATTCGTGTGGTGAAGGTTTTGAATATTGTACTCTTGTACTTCTGAATTGTTAACAGCATATTATTGCTTAGAAAGTTCTTTAGTCTTTTGGAATACGATTTGGAAAAGAAATGATTCGAGTGGTGAAGGTATTGAATATTGTACTCTTATACTTCTGAATTATTAGCAGTATATTAATGCTTAGAAAGTATTTTTAATTATTTTTTTAACGATGAGGGAGTTGAGTTTTTTGGAATTTGATTTACAAAAGGAATGATTCGAGTGGTGAAGGTTTTGAATATTCTACTCTTATACTTCTGAATTATTAGCAGTATATCAATGCTCAGAAAGTATTTTTAACGATCTTTTTAACGATGAGGGACTTGAGTCTTTCGGAATTTGATTTAGAAAGGAATGTTTCGATTGGTCAATCTTCCGGTTGTTTCTAGGCTCTACTATTGTTCCGTTGATAGTTCCACGGTCCGGCATACTTCAGAATTCCCAGCAGCACATTAATGCTTAGAAAGTTCGAACCTAGTTACGACCGCGAATTTCTAAGCTTCAAAGTTGTCTGAACTTCTTCAACAACCCCTGAACTTATGCCTCACGTGTACCGATGAAATTAGCTCAGATAAATCGCGTGTAAAACGTTGTCCACGTCAGAGACGAGAGTTTGATGTCCGCGAGCCGCGTGTCACGCTTTCATGCATCTAAATGTCTCTCACCAACTAACCTTCGCTTTCGTTAATGCACCTATGTGTCTTTTCTGTCTAACGCTTACTTCGGAACAGCCGGCACGTTGGAGGAGTTCACTAACACTCTAGGTAAGTCACTCTCGCTGGACCTGCAAAAAGAGACAACAAACATTATACCAATACCTCTAAAACAAACTAAATTTCACAGCAACCATTATCCCAATTAAAATCCCCAACCCTTCCCAATTAAACACTCCCAACTTCCACTTTCCATACAAAATCTCCAAATCATCCATACCTACAAAAGCTTCAAAACCCTCATCTCCAAAATACAATCGCAATTCACAGTACAATCATTCCAATTAAAACCTCCAACCCTTCCCAATTAAACATACAATTCCCAACTTCCATACAAAATCTCCAAAAGCAAATCATCCATACCAACGATACAGTTCAAAAACCTCTCTCCGAAACCAAGTGAAAATAAAGGAAGGGGCGGTAAAGAGGGCAGAATAATTTGTAAGTATCGTGTCACGGGTAGCTCGTCGATCGAATCGTTACCGGTGATTAAGGTGTACCCGCGCGGCGTTTTTTCCCGGAGGAAAACGGGCCGTACGAGTCAATTAAACGGGAAGAACGAGGAGATCTCGGGGCCAGCTCGAGCCTAACCGAATCGACGGGCCTTTAAACAAGATTCGAGGGAAGAGGCAGAGTTACGAGCCCGTGTCCCGGTTCACCGTAACTTCTTCTTCTTCTTCTTCTTCCTCCTCTTCGTTTTCTTCTTGCACCTTTTTCTCCGTTTTTTCTTTCTCCGACGTCGCTTTACGTCGATCGCGGTCGCCTTAACGACTCCTCGCTCGATCCTCGAGCCGTTTCTTTTCCCATTCTTTTTCCTCTGATTCGGACTTTTTCTCTTTTTTGTTTCGCCGGGACAGTGGTGGACGGTGGATGGTCGAAATGGTCGGCATGGTCGGTGTGCGGGACCGACTGCACGCACACCAGGAGGAGATCGTGCGACGATCCGCTACCCAGCCACGGCGGACGACCTTGCCAGGGTAGGGACATCAGCGTGGCGAATTGCACCGGCGGCATGTGCAACAGTAAGTCACGAGCGAACTATATTCTATCTACTTGTCACGACTTTTCCCGGCCGCGACGCGACGGCGTGCACCGTCGCCGGCCGCGTCCGCTTCGCGGGGAAAACGCCACTGACGCTGCGTGGTTGAGGTCGCCATTGTGTACTTTGCGTAGAGAATGGACGTAGTGGATATTTTTAATTATTTTGTTTCTGAATGATGATTGATACTACTTTGTAATTAACCCTTTGCACTCGAAGGTTATTCACTAGACATATTTTAATATTTGATGAGACAAAGACGATATTTTGGGAAACCAACTCGGAGACATTACACGAGTATTGAGGAACAAACCTATTTTATTTCAATATTTTTTAAATTTATGAGTTATACGAGGTACAATGTTAAATATCAAATTTTATAGCTTTATGAAATCAGGTGTTGTGAGAGTCACCTCTCGAGTGCAAAGGGTTAGTCATTTTCTAAAGAGAACGGATTTGAAGGTATTATCTTTGCTTCAAAGTATAGTAATTGATAATAGAGTAATAAATTTGAATTCAAGGGATCGAGTTTGATTCTGTTTAAAATCTACACTACGTGTCTGCGTTATTGTAAGAGGAGTAGAAGTATTTCAAGTTTACTTGTCGAGAAAGAATAACATAACGAGCAGTGGATATTACAGCAATAACAGTGATAATGATCGAATGATTGCTGTCATATACAAGGCATTACACAGTAAGTGTCATGCCGCGTTATCACTCCATTAAAGGTTAACCCTTTGCACTCGAGAAGTGACTCTCACCACTTGATTTCGTACAGTAGAACTATAAAATTTGATATTTAATATTATATTTCATAATGCATCATTTTGAGAAATATTCAAATAAAATCGCGTTGTTCCTCAATGTACGCGTCGACTTAGTTTCACAAAATATCGATTTTATCTCATCAGAAAATGTTAAAATATTTCTAGTGAAAAACTTCCGAGTGCAAAGGGTTAATACTCTTTAATTACACTTTTCATGCTCTATATAGATTTACTAGATTCAATGGAACATTACTACTGAGAATACCATCACAAATGCCAAATATTAGTATCGAGGTTTTACAGTACTCTGCATCATATAGAATTCTAAATTGCAAAATTCATTTAAATTTAATGGAATTCTAATTAAATTGATCCTTGTCGCATCGAAGCGAAACTGATGCATTTTATTATTTCACAAACGACGAAGTTCCTTTCGCTATAGACGTAGACCGTTAGTTGTGCAAACAGATTCAAAAGCGTCTTCAGAGGCGGACAGCTTCGCCTCCGAGTTTTCAGTATCGAAGTCGAGAAAGAAGACAGCAGTGTTCCCCGCGTAATTGAAAGATTATTCTCCCTTTGACACGCGACAATATTTCCCGCAGCGGACGATTGAACGTAAATACGGCCTGCCTTCTCGCGGAGATAATTGTCACTCCGTTTACGCCCGGAAGCCCCGGACAATGTCAACCGGGAGAGCCCGAGCCATGAAAGCCCGTGTAATCTTATTTCCTGCCGCGCTCAAAGAAATGCGATTACGTCTTAACGCGTTCGCTGTCAGGAATATTTCATTCGATCGTCTTAACGCCATTGTGGATCAATCCCGACGCTCGTAGAAAAGGTGGATCGTGCATCGCGGCGTTCAATTATTCTCTGCGCGAGCTGAACGCGTCCTGGTTCCATTCTTTCCGTTTCGAATCGCGAGACGTAATCACCGTTACCATTGCGGAGAATTAACCGTTTGCACTCTGGAAGCGCCTCTCAGTCGCCAATCCATTTGACGCTGCACGATTGTGAGGTTTTGAGTCGTCGAATATCGAAGGAAAATAGTTCTCTTCCTCTGCGTGCGATTAATGGTCGAATCAGCTTCGTAAAATGCATTTTATTAGAAGATACTGAGTGTTTTCTGTGAGGAACTTGAGTGCAAAGGTTAATACACGTCTTAACCTCGGGCATTCGTGTTTGAAATGTTTTGAAAAATATTCTTTTTTGAGTTTTCTCTCGAGTATTTTATCAGGATATTGTTAGTTGTTATTTGTTCCGTTAGTTTTTATCTAATTTTTAACGCTTAGACGAGCTGAAAAGAATTATAACTACAACCTGCTCCGTTATCTTCAATTGAACTCATTCGATTAATTCGGTTAGAAACTGTTTTGCAAAAACAAGAACCGTACTTCATGAATTGCAAATAATCCCACTTCAAGACTGAAATAACAAAAGAAAAGATAAACAGAATGAAAGACAAAATAGTAGACTGAATTGAAACGTGATCGAATGCTCCGTTCAACCCTTTGCGCTCCAGAGGCCAAGTCACCGAATGATTTGACACAGCAAAACCGTAAACTTTGATATTCAGTATTAAACTTTGTACAATGCATCAATGTACGAAATATTGAAAGAAAATAGTCTTCCTCGATGCATTTGAAATTTCTTAATTCAATCTAAGGAAATATCGTCTGTACCTCATTAGAAAATATTGAATATTTCCGGTGAAAAACTGGAGTGTAAAGGGTTGATGTTAAACTTTGCAAGATGCGTCTGCGTGGAAAATGAAACTAGCGGTTCCACACGGAAAAATTGAAAATTCATGCGCGGTTAGAGGGTTAACGGTAACCAAGATGGCAGCGAACGACGTTAAAGCTCACGCAGCAGCGATACTCCACCCGGACCGGTTCCCCGAGCAGGGAATCCAGGAATCGCTGCCTTTTACGTGTCAATTACCGCGGCTCACCCACTTAGCCCTCAATTACATCCACATTTCTATCGTCCATTCGTTCTCTTCTTTCTTTTTCCAGACGGCGGCGCGAAAATGGGTGGCGCACACTTGACCGAGGAAGGTAAGTCCATCGACGAACAAAAGGCCCGTTCCTTCCTGGGCTTTAATCTCCTTTCGTCTCCATTAACCGTCGGCTGCCGCGATATTTGACGGCGGGGCAAAAGACAGTGCCCCGGATTACTTTCAGCGAGCGATAAAGCTCTTAACAGCTCCACGGAAATCTTTCCTAATGGAACATCGAGGAATGTACAATATTCATTCGAATACTTTATTCACCGCGCGGTGCGGTGATTCATGAAATACATTCTCTACAAAGCGTAAAGCGAATCAAATAACCTCGGAATACGTTCGCCAACCGACTGTTAAAGGAGAACGATTCTGGTGTGGATCTTTATGCACTCGACTGCAGAATTTAATCGAATAGAAGGAAACACTTCTATCGATAGAAACGAATTTCTATTCTAAAACCGCTCGAGCGATCCTCCGATAAAATAAACCTTTCCCCATCAATTTCTACAGAACAATTCACTAAAATCTGCTCAACGATTGTCTACGCAACGCACAAAAATGTATTCAAACATTTCCACAGAACTATCGACAAAAATTTGCTAATTCTCTTCTACAGAATAATCCACAAAAATCAGCTCAATAATTTCACAGAACAATCCACAAAAATCTGCTCAAACTTTTCTAACCCATAAGAATCTGCCGAACAAAATTTCCACAAAACAATCCGCAGAGGTTCGCTAAAAACTTTCTACATAAGAATGCAGAGATTGCGCAAAGACCCACAAGCTAGGCATTACACGGTGTGTCACCTCACCCCCTGAAAAGACGGGACTCGCTATTAGACAAGAGGCTATTCGCGGTCCGCGATCCATCGGGAACCACCCCCGATTCGTTCCGTCGTCGCGAGAGCTGAAAGCGAGCGAGTGGGAGGCGGCCGGGGCGCGACCGGCCGCGCAGAAAACGCTCGGAACTCGTCGCGCGACATTCTCGGATGGGATTCTTCACGGCCGGTGCGCGCCGTTTATATTCGCCGTGCAACGTGGCGCTACGGCATGGCACCGCGATCTGATACCATTCAAATCGGACGTCCCGCGCGGCTAAATGGAAGACCGACGGCACGGCGCGGACCTATTCCTCGCGCCGTCGCGATACGCATCGATTCCGGGGTATATTAATGCGACGTTTCCAAGGCGTTACGTGTCGCTTAGAAAACGAACGCGACTCGTGCAACACGAGAGCCGAACACGAGGAAATGGTCGCCTAATGGAACTCACCGGATCGCGCCGCTCGCCTCGCGTATATTCCACGAGGCTATTCGCCGATTCATCATTGATTCGTCCCGGCTGCTTTTTACGGGGACTCGAGACGTGCTACGATGGATATTCATGGGGAGAATATGGGGGAGTATGGGTTTTATTGATTGCTGACAGCACGGGAATCGCGGAAGTCGTAGGCGGAAGCCCTGTGTCTGACTCGGTTTCGTGATTCTTATGAGTTTCGGAATTTTATGAGGTATTTTGTGAGGATTGCATTGTGTTCTATGAAGCATTCCAGAATTCGCCTCGGCGAGAGCCCTACGTATAGACTTCTAATTTCTAGAATCGCTCTGATGAGAATTCTAGTTGATATTCGTTAAGGGAAACTTTCTATTATTCTAATATAGAATTATGTTAATATCCAAATATTTATATTATTCAAACGATTCACTTTGAAGTTCCATGGAAACGGTGTTGCGATCGAACAGAAGAAATATTCGTTCTCTCCTAGGACGATTCATTGTTTAAGACAAACTTTCTATCATTCTAATATAGAATTAATATATTAATATCCAAACATATTATTCAAACGATTCACTTTGAAATTCCCTGGAAACGGTGTAGCGATCGAAAAGAGGAAAGGTTCGTTCTCCTAGGACGCAATCGCGCTCAAGTGTGTTTGCCGTCAGAGTTTTCCGCGTCAACGACGAGCACCGGGGTAAGAGCCGCCCCTCGGAGTATTTACTTTTAATTACGCGACTGGTTAATTATTGACGCTTCGCGAGGGGCCCCGGGTACGCGATCGCCGGCCCCCATACCGGTTCCAAACAATCGTAACAATGAGATGGCGGCTGGTGTGTTGTCAAGGGTGGCCCAGTGGTCCGTATAGATCCAGACACCCCCTCGTAGACCGGACGATTCTATCGACCGGGCCACATCAAAGTTGCACGCGATACGGTTCGGCCCACGTTTCACCCCCCGCCCGCCCCCTCACCTTCGTCCGTGCGCCCTGATGGAACGACGGGGTGGGTGCCGCTTTAATATCGAAGAAAATTATGTAATCGGCAGCCGTAACGCCCCTCAGCGGCCTGCAACAGGGAAATTGATCGTGCATGCAAATAAAGTGCCATTATACCGTGGCGAAGCCCTGAACGTGTACGTAGATCGCCTGGCCGTCGGGATTACCGCCCAGGAACTACCCTCCCACGAGTCCTGGAGCGGCTTCGATTCTCGTGGTGCCACGATAAGAAGCGATGAGTCGCAATCAACCGCCTCGGAATACGGCGTTTTCTTTGAAACTACTTCCTGCGACGTTTTTAAGTTGAACCTTTCGTAATCGGTCGGGGTATGTTGTCTTGCTTCTGGGGATGCGTGGATTATTCGAGGAAGTATTGTTTTTCAATTTGTTGGTATTAAGGGTTTAGAGAGGATCTTAGTGTTATTAATTGTTGGTTTTTCTTTAATGATAGTAAAGGGAATTTATTTTAGGGTGAAACAGCTGGTTTTAGAGTAAGTCAATTGTTTTGATGGAACTTGGTTTTTATTAAATTGTTAATTAGATTATTCGAGAGGGAAGTATTGCTTTTCAGTTTGTTGGTATTAAGAGTTTAGTATAGGGAATTTATTTTGGGTTGAAATAGCTGGTTTTAGAGTAAGTCAATTGTTTTAATGTAACTTAGTTTCTATTAAATTGTTAATTAGTAGATTATTCGAGAGGGAAGTATTGCTTTACATTTTTTTAATATTTAGTGCCTAGAGAGAATCTTAGTGTTATCAATTCTCAGTTTCTTTAATGATAGTAAAGGGAATTTATTTTGCGGTGAAATAGTTGGTTCTGGAGTAAATCGATTGTTCTAATAGAATTTAGTTTTTATTAAATCATTGGCATTTAGAAACTTCCCCTAAGTCTCGATGTCTGCCAGAAGTATTACGATTTCGATATACAATCGCCCAAAAATTCCCGGAACGTAGAATCCAGTTTAATTCGCTCGCCTCCCAGCGCGATCCCGGGGGACTCGGAGTTACCCCTAATTTCATTCCTCCCCGGCGAACTTACGAAGTTCGATAATTTCGTTTCTGGAACAACAGCGTCTACCAGCCATTCTCCCCCGTTCTTCATCCAGCTCGCAATTAGACTCGCGTAAAACAGATATCGCGAGCCCCGAAGTGCAATCTCGGGATTACTGTGATATCATCGAAGATGCCCCACCCCCTCCCAGCGACCTGTGGGTTGCCAGATAAAGACAAGCGAACTATCGCCGGCCCGTAAAAACTTTCCCCGGTAGTGCGGATGAATTATAGCGTTCGGATACATCGGGGCCGGGGGTTATGAAGCGTTATCAATTGCCCGCTAAGAAAATAAATCTCGGCACCCCTCGCGCCACTTTTCAGATCGCTCCGGAGGGTGGGACTCGCGAACAGCTCTTATGGCGTTTACGCCGAACAGTTCGACAAAGTTTGTGCTGCTTTATCGATTCCAATTTTTCATTGATATTCCAATTTTTCATCGGTGCTTCCCATCGTTTTCTTCCATACTTTCCAGTACAGACTCTTCAAAATGTAATTCAACGTAGGAATATTCAAAGAATAGAGATCTATAATAATACTATAGGATTTTCGGAATATTAACCTCTTGCCCTACAACGACTGAGACTCGTGGTGAAGATTTTAAACGTGATTCAACAATCATCAATTCTTATACTTAAAAGGAAATATAGGCATAACATGTGCTTAGAATTTTTCTCTTTTTCCAATAAATTATTAATGACAGAGTAGCCATATCGATCAGAGCTGAGAAAAAAATCATAGGCCAAGGGGTTAACACTAAAACTAGCTAAATAGACTTTATAAAATTCCTCTATGGAAACTCCAAGATCTATCGAGACTTCAACTGATTTACAGTTCAGTTTGCATATTGCTTCAATTTCAATGATCTCAGAGAAATATTAGTCATCTTTTAACCCTTTCACTAGAAATATTCAATATTTTTCGATGAGATACAGACGATGTTCTTTGAAACTAATTAACGATGAAACAAAGTTATTTTATTTCAATATTCCATATATTAATGCATCATACGAAGCTTAATATCACATATAAGACTTCATAATTTTGCAAATCAAATCGACTGAGAGTCACCTCGAGTGCAAAGGGTTAAAAGAAAAGAAGAAATCAAGAATTTCGATAGATAGTTTCAGCGTTAAAGATTTCAGCTCGATTTTTCATGAAATTGCTCAGCAAAAATGGACGAGCGCTCGTTAGGACTTCAATTTTTTCCAAATGGGGCGAAAGAGCATTCGTTCGTTTGGGGTAAACGCGCCATTACTCTCTTCTCCTTCGTTTCCACCGGCGCGCGCGCGGGGTAACGACGCGGAACTATTGCGTTTTTAGGGGCGTCCCGCCGCCCCCCGTCGCACGGATCTCGTATGCGTTTTCGTCGCCGCGTATATTGATGTTCGAAGCACGTGTCACCGGAGAGCGCGCGCCGGGCAGACGCGGCCCGTGATCCTCGCGGAGGAGGAACGGCGCCCGGAGAGTCACGTACCGGGGTTACAACCGGGAATGGCTTTGACATTCTAAAATTGGAAGAAGCTTAGGAACGTCAGTCGCCGGTTTGCCTCGGTATTTCTTGAAAATCTTCCGCCGGGCGGCCGCGCGCGCATTTTAAGCGATCAACCTCTGGAAATATGGCGGG